TTGCCAGTGCCAGGCAGGCACACTCATGAATAAAGCAGCTGAGTGAATCCACACGAGCTGGGGAGAGAATGAATTTTTTATCAAGGAGCCCTGTTAGCATATTTACTATTGATTTATTGGATGGAGGCATAAAACATCAGCACTTTTGCTTTTGCCTTCTCCCCAGCTCTGTAAGGGGAGAAACAAAGGGAAGGATTTGCTTCTATTGAAAGTTGGCTGAATTAACGTTGTGATTGCATGTCGTGATGGGAGTTAAAACTGCTCCTACACAGCCAGTGGTATTGGAGCAAAATTAAAATGCTGCCAGCTTTCAAGGATTTTACCAAGAGTCTGCTGGTATTTTGTTGGGTTTTTTTGTTTGTTTGTTTTGTGGGGTTTTTTGTGGTTTTGTTTTTGTGTGTGTTTTTTTGTTTGGTTGTTTTTTTGTTTGTTTGTTTTTGGTTTTTTTTGTTTTTTTGGTTTTTTTTTATGAGTCCCATGGAAGAGGTTAGAAGGGTGTTTGTAGGGATTTAGGTTAGGCTTAGCATGGTGGGTGCATCCTGATACAAGTGCCAGGGCAGGGGGTGGAAGCAGCTGGGAGCTGAGCAGAGGTTGGGCAGAGGGAGCCATGGCAGCTGGGCTTGTTGGGAAGAGCACTCCAGGGGCCTGAGAGCTTGTATGGGCTTTAAATGCTTGAGGCACAGATCTCTGGGTCTCCACTGTGACCCCAAAAGTGTCCCTGAGATGCCTCAGTTTCCCTCTGTGCAGCACCTTGCTCTGGGAGAACTGGGCTGTCAAGTTTAAGGGACACTGAGTTTTCAATCCCAGTCCTGGAGCCAGGCTTGGTGTGGGCACAGCTCAGGGGGTGCTGCTGAAAGCCCTGCTGCTCTTTCTAACCCAGAAGGCTCAGGAGCAGTGAAAGAGCCCTCAGTGAATTTCTGGATGTAACTCTGGCACATCATGTCCAGCGTTTCATCCCTCCTGCCTCCCTCTCGGGTTAGACCTGTGGGCAGGCTCAAGTCCCCCTGAGATCCAACCAGGCCTTAATGTTTGAGCTGGAACAGAAAAATTGATTTGATCTCTTGTCTTGTGCTGCTTAATGAGCCAGCCTGGAGCTGGGCCACAGCCCAAACCCTGGTGGCTCTGTGGATGGAGGGCTCAGGGCAGGCAGAGCTTTTCCCTGGTGTTTGTCACTGTCTCCAAAGTCTGGCTCGTCCTGGCTCATTGTGAGCGAGGCAGAGCAAACACAGCAAGTCCCTGCCCTGCCCTGAGCACGAGGTAACCCAGCAAAGGCTCAGAGAAGGCTGGTTGATCAGCTGTATTTCAGCACATTTCATTTTTAGGGGCTTTGCTGGTGGCATGGAGTTGTGGATCTGTCGCCAAGTTTGGGCTTCAAATGAATAAATAAATGACAAACGATCCTTTGGCAGTGACGAACCTGCTGCACTCCCTTTGCAGGCTTATGTGGTTTCCCTTCTCCCATCTGTTCCTTCCTCCAGCTCCTCCTCATGGGCTGGCTCTACACCCCTCTAGTCTGGCTGACAGCAATTCCAGGCCTCATAAAACCATGGAATATCCTGAGCTGGAAGGGACTCACGAGGATCAGTCCTCACTGAGTGGGATCCACTTACTCCAACCGGAGATGTTTGGTTGGACAGGATGGGAACTGAAGAAGAGCCTCCAAATATAAAACCTGGCTTTGCTCTGGTAATCCCAGGACAGCAGTCCCAGGCACTTCCCCTTTTTCTCTGTTAGGAAATACCTGGAATTGGCTTTACTTCATCCCTCTCATCATCACTTTCTTCCCTCATGTGTTGGGGAAGAAGGGTAGGATGAATGTCCTTGTTTCCTCCAAACCCACCCGTGGAGATGCAGGGCAGGGCAACAGGGAAAGGAAAGAGCTGAAAGCAAAGAGAGAGGAATGGAAAAACAAAACAGGGAATGAAAAACTGGCATTGCTGGGCTGGGATAGAGCTGGACTCGATGATCCTTGTGGGTCCCTTCCAACTCAGAGTATTCTGTGACTCACCTCAAAAGACAGAGGAAGACAGGGATTGAAAAAGGCTTTCAAAACCAAAATGGGAGATCGGGCTGCTCAGAGCTTTCCCTGTGTTCTTACTCCCCTTTTCCCTGTGTTCCTAATCTCATTTTCCCTGTGTTCCTAATCTCATTTTCCCTGCCTTTCTACTCTTTTTTCCCTGTATTCCTACTCTCATTTTCCCTCTGTTCCTACTCCCATTTTCCCAGTGTTCCTACTCCCATTTTCCCAGTATTCCTACTCCCATTTTCCCTGTATTCCTACTCCCATTCTCCCCTTGTTCCTACTCCCATTCTCCCCTTGTTCCTACTCCCATTTCCCCCTCCTGTTTTCTCCCCAGCCTCTCCCGTGCTGGGTTTGCCTGGAGCAGGGCTGGTGTGTGGAGGGGTTGGTTGCTCCCTGCTCCTCTCAGCTGAGTCACTGATCAACTGACACAGATATTTCTGAAGATGTTGGGCTATTTGGAGGAGTGCTCGTCATGTGTTGGATCCAGAGCCCGTTCCTTGAGGAAGGATTTATGCAGACATGGAGCATATCAATTATCCCAGGGGTATTTACTTGCAGCAGGGCTCTAAATGTTATTACCTGTAAGAAATGCCCTGACACACCACACTTTGGCTTGTTCATTGGGTGACTTCTTCTGCAGAGACACTCAAGGTGGCATCAGGTCCATGGCTGGCTGAAATAAAATGCTCTGAAGTGCTCTTTTCCCAAGCAAATTTGCTCTTGCAAATATGCTTGGGAACAGTGAGCAAAAAGCACCCCAGATAACAAGAAAAAGGCCCCAGTATAAGTTGGAATTAATGCATTTTGTGCCCGTTGTTGTCTGAGAGCCCCTCTGTGGGAGCTCTGCCTTTGGACAGCAGGGTGAGCTTGGTGATCCTGTTTACCTTCTGCAGGAGGAGGAGGAGGAGGAGAATTTGTGTCTTTACTTTCCTTCCCCCCCTTTTTTCCTTTTTTTTTTCCCCTTTTCCCCTTTGCTTTCATGTTTCCTTTTCTTTTTGGGTTTTTACTTTCCTTTTTACTTTTCCTTTTACTTCCTTTGGGTCCTTCCTCTTTATCCTTTTTCCCCTTTTTTCCTTTTTTTCCTTTCCCCCCCCCTTCCTCCTTTTTTCCCTTTTCCCCTTTTCCCCCCCTTCCCCCCTTTTTTTCCCTTCCCCCCCTTTCCCCATTTTTTTCCCTTTTCCCCTTTCCTTTCCTTTTCTTTTCGCGTTTTCACCTCCCTTCTCCTTTTCCTTTCTTTGAGCCTTTCCTTCCCTTTTCCCTCGTTTTTCATTCCCTTCCTTCACCCCAGATTCTCCAATTGCCGCATTCTTCACTCACAAGAGAGGAATTTGCATTTTCCTGAGCACTCAGTAAATGCCCACGTGGCATTTCACTTCTCAGCAGTTCCCTAAAGAGCTCCCTGGTGGTTGATGAATGCGGGGAAACTTTGTCACACCCTCAGAACACCCTCCCCTCCCTCCTCACCGGTGCTTACTCAGGGAGCAAGGATGGCTGTTTGGTGACAGGAAAGTGCTGAGTAAGCAGCTGTGGAGTTGCAATCCCCGGGAACACTCCTGGTTTTCTTGCAGACTCCTTGTCTGTGTGTGCAGATTCCGGGCACGGTGCCACCCTGGCCTTAATTGCAGCCCAGCTGAAGGGAGGGCCGTGGTTCCCTCCTGCTGCTGCTGCCTCAGTTCACATGGAAATGCGATGATGCTGACACTCAGCACACGGGCAAGAGTTGAGGTGGGGAGAGAAGAGGCTGCTGGAAAAGCCAGCCCAGAGTTAGGTCACCTAAAAATGCCTCTTGGCCCCACAGCAGGGTCAGCCTGGAGCTGTGGAACTCCCAGAACCGTGGAATCATTTAGGTTGGAAAAGGCCTTTAAGGTCATCGAGTCCAACCATTCCCCAGCACTGCCCAGGCCACCCCTGACCCACAGCCCCAGGTGCCACAGCCACACGTGGCATCTTTTAAATCCCCCCAGGGATGGTGATCCCACCCCTGCCCTGGGCAGCTGTGCCAGGGCTGGACGAGCCTTTCCATGAAGAAATTCCTCCTGATGCCCAACCTGACCCTCCCCTGGTGCAGCTTGAGGCAGTTTGCTCTTGTTTTATTTCCTGTTCCCTGGGAGCAGAGCCCGACAACCCCCAGCTCCCCCTCCTGTCAGGGATTGCAGAGCCAGAAGGTCCCCCCTGAGCCTCCTTTTCTCCAGGCTGAGCCCCCCCAGCTCCCTCAGCTGCTCCTGCTGCTCCAGCCCCTTCCCCAGCTCTGTTCCCTTCCCTGCACACGCTCCAGCCCCTCAAGTGTCTTTCATATTCTGAGAAGCCCAAAATTGAACCCAGCACTGGAGGTGCCCCAGCAGTGCCCTCACCAGTGGGGCAGGCACTGCCCTGGGCCTGTGCCCATCCTATTTCTGGCACTGCCCAGGGGCCATTGACCTCTTGCCCACCTGGGCACACCTGGGCTCACCTTCAGTGGCCGTCACCAGCACCCCCAGGGCCTTTTCCAACATCCCAACCCCTCTGCCCCAGCCTGGAGCGTTCCATGCTGTTGTTGTGACCCAAGGGCAGGACCCAGCACTTGGCCCTGCTGCCCCTCACCGTGCTGGCCTCACTCAGCCCACGGATCCAGCCTGTCCAGATCCCTCTGCAGAGCCCTCCTGCCCTCCAGCACATCCACATCCCACCCAACCTGCTGTCATCTGCAAACTGACTGAGGGGGCACTTTGATCCCCTCATCCCCATCATGTCCAGAGTCATCAGATGAATCTTCTCACTGGAGCTGATGGCAAATCGTGCTGTGGATGGTGGGACAATCAACTTGGTTCATCAGTTCTTTTGCTGGCCTTTCAACTGCTGAACACACCAGAACATCAGTGGTGGATGAGCCCACGGAAATCCAAGGGGAATCTCCTCTGCCCTGCAGGCTCTGTGTGGTATTTTGTTTCTGAGGTGAATTAATATTTGGTTTTGTCTCTGTCTTTTTCTTTGTTTCCAGACAAACGATGCTGCAGGAAATACCTGGAATTGGCTTTACTTCATCCCTCTCATCATCATTGGCTCTTTCTTCATGCTCAACTTGGTGCTGGGCGTCTTATCAGGGTAAGGACACCAATGACTTGTTTGTCCCCACCTGGATGTGAAAAGGGAAGATGTGTTGGTTTTAGTGGGAAGATGTAACTGGGAGAGCTGGGTGATACATCCCACTGTGCATTGTCCCCCTTCCCACTTTTCCTACCCTGCTTGCAGTGGGATATTTCTGTAAGACTGTAGAACCTTGGGATGGGGATAAGCTGGTGAATAATCACTATTTGAGAGGATTCTGAACCCAGACCCAAGAGCTGAGTGAACTCCCTGTAATTCCACTGACCTGGGCCAGTGCAGCCAACACTCCTGTGCCACCTTGAAACCCCACCAGGAACCCACTGGTGCCAAAACAATGCTGGAACTGGACATGGAAGCGTGGATAATGCACTTGGTGTAACTGGGCAGCACAAGGGGAGGGGATGATTAAACTAAAAGCAGTTAAAAGATCTCAGGGGTTTTTTTGGTTGTTTGGGGTTTTTTGTGTGTGTTGATGTTTTGTGGTTTATGTTTTATTTGTTTAATCTCTCTCTGTTTAAGTCAATGTGTGGATTTTGGGGACCCACTGGTCTCCTGATGTTCCAACCCCAGGGGTCAGCCGAGGTTTTGGTGTTGTTGCACCTGAGTTTTGGGTTTGGACCCTTGCAGGAATTGAGCTGCCAAGCCTGAAGCTGAGCTGGAACGTCCCCAGCATGTGAGGAAATTTGATCTGGCATTAACAACCTGCCTCATCTCAGTGGTTTGCAGGCTCTTGAGTTCTGGCACCTCATTTTGCACAGCATTTCTTCTTAGATCAAGCAGGTGATTGAGACTCTATAGATGTATAAAGATCTAGATTTTTTTTTTTATTTTTCTGGCTCTTGGCAGCAGGGGAATAAAAAAGACTTCTTGCTGCTGTGTGGTAAAAACCTTTCAGTGCTGCACCTTTGCTCTTCCTTTTTAAAGCTACCAGAGAAGAAGAAGTGTTTTCCAAAGCAGATATTAATGCAAAATTGTGTTATTTTGTAATTATTTTGGTCCTCAAAGCACACAGTGTGGTAGGAGCAGGGAGACAGCAGTGCAGCTGTGTTGGAGGGCTGTGGGCGTGTCCTGCTCTTTGCTGGAAGACAAACATCCAGTTGTCATCATCAATGACTGATCAAAACCATCCATAGGACATCCTTTTGTTTTCAGAAGGAGAGTTTCTTGTCTGATTTATGATTTAAAGGGAGCACCCACACCAGTTCTTGAGGTGTCTGCTCATTCTTCTGCCACCCTGGGGTCAGCCCACGGTGACTGGAATGATCCATGGGATTTAAAACAGGCTCCTGTTTCTTTGTGCTGGATCCCAATGTGTTTGGTGAGCAAAAGGCAGAGACTCTTGTCTGAGTCTCCTGAAAGCCTCTTGCTGCTCAGGGCAAAATATGAATATTAGAAAAATATGAATATTAGATAAATAGGAATCTCCTCTTAAAAATGCAGCTCTGGGCACCAGGTCTGCCTTTGGTCGTGGTGAGGAGGAGATTTTCTTCTTCACAGAGGGAAGCTTTTAATTTCTGTTTGGCAGAGTGGATTGATTGATGGCCTTGCCTGGAATAATTCCTGGGGAGAGGCTGAAGGGAATAAACATCCCAGCTCAGGGGTGAGCACAGGGCTCAGCAGGCTCTTGGTGGGCCTGGAGCTACTGGGCAGGGAAGGAAAGTGGGGATAAAAACCCCTTCCCTGTGAGGGTGCTGAGGGCCTAGCACTGATTGCCCAGAGAAGCTGGGCTTTTCCTTTTTTATCTTTCAGTGATCCTCATTTTTAATCTGTTTTTTCCTTGTATATTTTCCCACTCTGACCAATTTTCCCCTGTCAGTGTGTGTGTCCTGTGGCTCCATATTCTGTAGCCAAAAGCAGCAGGCAGCACCAGAGTGAAAAAAAAAAAGAAAAAGAAAAAGAAAATATGCATTTCTGCTGGAGGGTATTCTTTACAGGGGTTTCTGCATGGAGAAAGGATCATTGGAAAATACATGTTGACTTCCATAAGGTCCAGTTTCACTCCAGGACATGGAAACACCCCCATCCCACTGGCAGTGTCAGCAGCAGAGACTCTTGGCAATACCCCACATTCCTGTTTCAACAGAACCAAGTTAATTTGGGGTTAGGGGTTCTCCAAACAGCCCACGAGCAGGGTTAACTCAGCTGCTTCTTGTTTTCATGATCTGTGCAGCTCAGCCTTGAATGTCACTGTGCTGGATCCTGGGGGAATACTCCGCTCTCCTTCTCCACACATTCCAGAGAGGGAAGAGCAGGGAGAACCAGGGGATGTAACACCCCCAGGAAACCTCTGCAAAGCTGAGGTCAGCTCACCAGTGTGATCTTCATTACTGTCCTCTTTCCCTGTTAGAATCATAAACCATCCTGAGCTGGAAGGGACCCACAGGGACCACTGAGTCCAACTTGTTGGCCAGGTTTATTTGATTTTCCAGCACTTTGCCCTGTCACCATGAGCACCAAGGGGTTAAGATCCAGTCTGGACCTTGGAAAGCCACAGGAAAAGGTTTTCACAGAATCTCAGAATATGCTGAGTTGCAAGGGACCCACAAGGACCATCGAGTCCAGCTCCTATTTTTCATTGTTGTTGTTTTTGAGCTGTTTTTCCTTGTATATATATTCCTCAGTGGGTAAAGAGGAAGCTGCAAATTTCTGAAGCAGATATGCAGTTACTATCACAGATTATGGCAAAATAATTAATCACAGAATCACAGAACTGTTTGGGTTGGAAGGGACCTTAAAGCTCAACTTCTACCCCCTGTCATGGGCAGGGACACCTTCCACTAGCCCAGTTTGCTCCAAGCCCTGTCCAGCCTGGCCTAAATCTGAAATGACAAGAACTTATCAAGCTTCCTACCAACACTGGGCTGTAGAGAGCTTTGCCATAAATCTGAAAGGAATGTTCTGCCTTCCTGTGGTTCTTTGTGAGCCCCTGTCAACAGCCAGCAGATACCTGAAATAACTGGGCTTAGCTCCTGGTTTTCTTTGTTTGAGCAGTGGAGGGAGATGGAGCCAGTTTAAGATCCCCAGCCTCAACTTCTCACAAAATGTAAAAGAAGAGATGATACTATGATTTTGAAATAAAAAGCGAACAACCTCTCCCCTCTGCTGATTCTTCTGGAATTATAGGGAGGAAATGGCCTCAAGCTGTACCTGAGAGGTTTAGATCAGATATTAGGAACAGTGTTTTCATGGAAAGGGTTGGAAAGTATTGGAACAGGCTGCCCATGGAAATAGTGGAGTCAGAACCCCTGGGAGGGTGAAAAAAATATGTGGATGTGACACGTGAGGACATGGTTCAGTGGTGACCATGGGGGTGGTGCTGGTTGACAGCTGAACTCAGTGATCTTAAAGCTCTTTTCCAACTGTAATGATTCCACAATTCTGTGGTTCTGTAACAAAAGCAAAGGCAGGGAAGTGACAGGGAGATGGGGAAGTGTTGGTGAAAACATATTATAAAAATGACCCCCAATCTCAGGCCACAGTTGATGTGACAGAACGCTCAGCATCTGACTAAAGCTGTGATTAAAAGCGTGTTGGGTGCATAGCTCAGCTTCCATGAGCCTCTGGTGCTGTACAGAGTGTCCTCCTCGTGTGAGCTGATCAAAGCCCTGCCAGAGCTCTTGTTCTTGGTTAATAATTAACAGCTTCCCAGAACGGCTCTGATTTCTGCTCCTCTCCCCTCCCCGTGCAGGGGAACAGCCAGTCTGAGTATCCAGACTTTCCCAATGATCCAAGGAAATGTGGGGTTGTTGCAAACACCTCATCCCTGCTGGTGCAAGGGGGTGTTGGGCTGTGCATGTCCTTTCAGCAGCTGCAGTGAGTGCTGTGCCTGCCCAGCCCAGTGCTGAAGGTGGGCTCTGACTGGGGAAACTGGGAGCAGATCCCCTTTGCCAGCTGGCACATCACAAGCAAATACAGGCTGTGCTGTTTTCCTGCAGGAATTGAGGGTTTTCCTGGAGTGCTGCCATGGTCAGAGGGGCACAGGTGAGCTGCAATCGAGCTCCTAAAATCCAGCAGGGTTGTTTAGGGGAGATCTGGGGCCTCCCAGCAGGACACAGCATCCCATGTGCTGTGGAGCAGTGGGTTGGTGTCCCTGGTGAGGGATTTTCCTCTCTGTTCCTCCTTTACATTCCCCCTGCCTTCTGCTTCCCTCCTCTGGTGCTTCATTCCTCCGTGAGCTGATAAAACCCAACAGAAACCAACAGAGCAGAAAAATACAGATTATTTTTCTTCTGGGGGAGCTTTCCCTGAGTGCCAGAGCTGATGTGAGAGCTCAGGACTGTTCAGGGCCAGGAGAGCAGAGGCAGGAGCAGAGATTTCTCTCCCTTTTGACACTCTGAACACTCAGAAGGCTTGTTTGCTTCTCCTTGTGAACCACAGAGGGCTGTCCACTCGAACAGGATGAGCTGCTGCCCATCCATGTGCTGGGAAAGCACATTGGGGTGACTGCCTGAGCCTGACACCTCCCCAACCTCAGACACACAAAATAAAAAAGGAAAAGGGAAATGAGAAAAAAGAAATCATTAAAAATTAGTGAAGTGAGGAGATCAGACACTTGGGTGAAGCTCTGCCTAGCCATCCACCCACCCACCCCAAAGGATGAACCAGGTCTTGGCCACACTAACAAGCTGCCCTAAACCATGACAATCCACACTATTGGAACTACTAATCCAGTTCCAGAAAGCTGGGGCCCTTGGTTGCCAGAAACTGAGCTTACATTTTGTCAGGTGTCCAGTTCAGCAGCAGTGAAAATGTTCAGGGATTTGTAGCCATAAAACATTTTTGCTTGAAACATCTTCTCGTGTCGACTGCGCCGGGTGTTTATTCTTATTAGATTATTTGTGACCCGGGTGGCAATAAAGGCATCCATCACAGGGAATGCAGCCTTTCCATGGGAAAAGATTGGCTGCCTCTGCTGGCACCACGGGAATGCTCTGAGTGCAAGTCATGTCAGGAGCCACTGACCCCAGATGCCTTCCTGTATTCCTGAAACACGGCGT